TTATACTACAAAATAAAGCAATGCACCATAAATAAGTATTTGTATAAAGGTAAATAGCTGTGTAGAAATAATGGCCCAAAGCTCTCTATGTATATTCTTTCTATTGTATGCAATACAATTATAAGCCTACGTAATACATGTGGAATTTCACAAGCATTTTGCATCTGCAGTAATGGCCTACACGTTCACCTAAATGCTGCTCTGGCAAGAACACATCAGTAATTTATTATTTTTGAAGACCTACTATACAGTTGTTTTTCAATATTAAAAGATTTTTATTTATTTACTTATTATTAACTTTTTTTTACTGTTTCGCCTTCAGGGTACAAAAGCAAACATCTATTCAAGGAAATGGAATAGAAAACAACAGCATATATTAGACTATCATTTGTAATCACTGGAAATAAAGTATCAGAACACTCATTCTGCTAAGACTGGTTACAAAGAAGATGATTTGAAAGCTAATTTTACGTTACAAAAAGAAGTTTATTGGAAGCTCTTATAAGAAGTCTAAATGCACTATGATTTATGTAAAACAGTCGCACAGCCAGCTATAGTTTATTCCAAATAGAAATAAGATTCTAGTATACAGCTAAGATTAAACAGCCACTTGGAAGTACTGCCAAATACAAATATGAGATATTAGAGCTACTTGGACAGAATGATCCCCTTAACTCACTCTCTGTAGAGTCAGAAAAGAAATATAAAGGAACTAATACTGGAAAAAGACCAGAGAGATTCTCAAGAAGATCTAGGTTAAGATCAGATTAACATTAGATGAAGAATTTTGCAATTTTTATTAAGAACTGAAATTTCTGGGGAGGAATAATTGCGTGCACCAGTACAGGTTGGGGGATGACCTGCTGGAGGGGAGCTCTGCGGAAAGGGACCTGGGTGTCCTGGTGGACGACAGGTTGGCCATGAGCCAGCAGTGTGCCCTTGTGGCCAAAAAGGCCAATGGCTTACTGGGGTGCATTAAAAAGAGCGTGGCCAGCAGGTCAAAGGAGGTGATCCTCCCCCTCTACTCTGCCCTGGTAAGACCTCATCTGGAGTACTGCATCCAGTTCTGGGCTCCCCAGTACAAAAAAGACAGGGATCTCTTGGAAAGAGTCCAGCGGAGGGCCACGAAGATGGTGAAGGGCCTGGAGCATCTCCCCTATGAGGAAAGGCTGAGTGAACTGGGTCTGTTCAGCCTTGAGAAAAGGAGACTGAGAGGGGACCTGATCCAGGTCTATAAATATCTAAGGTGTGGGGGGCAGAATGGCGAGGCCGGACTCTTTTCAGTGGTGAGTGGAGACAGGACAAGGGGAAACGGCTGGAAACTGGAGCATAGGAAGTTCCGCACGACTGAGCGCAAGAACTTCTTTACAGTGAGGTGACGGAGCACTGGAACAGGCTGCCCAGGGAGGTGGTGGAGTCTCCTTCTCTGGAGATGTTCAAGACCTGCCTGGACGCCTACCTGTGCGACCTGGTGTAGGGAACCTGCTTTGGCAGGGGGGTTGGACTCGATGATCTCTGGAGGTCCCTTCCAACCCCTACAATTCTGTGATTCTGTGATTCTGTGATTCAATGTCATGTTGAAAGTCATACATGAGGTCTCACATGCTTCCAACGTATACAAAAGAAAAAAAAAGCAAGCTTACTTCAAACTATCTTATTGGATAGTGTTAATAATCTTAGGATTACTTATGTATTTAGAATGTATTGCTGTTTGTGAATATTTAGATAAAATCTACTGTTGCTGTAAAATAGGACAAAACAGCCAATTTTTGGTACTGCCAAAGAGCTTGTTCTAATCCTTGGATAGGTTATGCATTGCTATTCTTTATTTGAGGTCTAATGAATGGTTTGGGTTGGGAAAAATTAACCCTATTAATCTCAAGACGTTAAGATCAGCAATTGTTCAAATGCTCCACTCCTAAATTTTAAGTGAAGAAAAAGCCATTGCAGTTTTCATCCTGCTGGTGTGTACATAAACAACATTTATCACACTAAGCACTAACTTGCCCATGTACTCAGCTGGCCATCTCAGCTCATCTTCTGCTTTAGATTCTTAGCGAAAAGTCTTTTCACTCTGAATTCATTGAAGTAAGATTTATTCTTCTCTCAGTTCTCCTTACTCACTTCTTTTTTTACTATATTTATATGTCTTGCTTACTTATACTCTGGTGTAAATTGCAAATTTTTGATTACGATTCAGTTGCACCCCTCTAACATGTTAAGGTAGGAAAATGAAAAGTAAACATAAGAAAGCAACTACAGATGAATAAGGGTTATTGGATTTACCTGATTCTGGCTTGACTGAAGTATGCCAGTTCCATGCTGACTGAAACTGCTGACAAGGGACCTGAGTTCCTGTGCATTGAGCACAGGGCCAACAGGGCCCTGGTGACTTTGAACAGCTTTAAGTGAAGTTAATGGAAATTGCTGGGTAAGCAGCACTTCAGGGGGTAAAAGAAAAAGTCAATTTGTTGGCTGCCTAAACACAGATCTAAGAGCCGAACTTTGGTATTTTTTATACATATATTTTTTACTACCTGACTTTGTGTCTGTCTATAATGTTCAGTATCATGTACTGAACCATCTGCTTTCTTCCTTTCTCATCCTCTTCTACCCTTTTTTTTTTTTTTCTTTTGGTCAGTAGAGCTCCAAACATGACTATTAACGTACAAAACACTTCATTGACCACTGTTAGAGATTCCTAGCACAGCATTTTAACCCCTTGTTATCCCCTAGTAATCTCAACTCCCATGGTAATTGTGCAGATACTGAGCAGGCTGCCTCCAATGGCACACTCAGCATGACTACAGCTCTACTTGTGCAACTTCAAAATGGCGTTCAAATGCAAAGTATTTTTACTGCTTCTTTTCCATTGCTGTTCACTAGAGCATTACATACAAGCAGGTACTAGCCTTCTACCTTTCTCTTAAGGTGAGCTGACTTAGCAGCATAGCCAGGATCAATTTGCTGGCAAACAACCCACAATCTTACTCCAATTTGTATCAAACTTAAATACATTTCTTTACTATGCCTTAGAGCTAAGCTTACTGCAAAACAAAATGGAATCCTGAAAACTTTATTTATAATCAAACTTACCAACTTGTTTTAGATTTTTGTTGTTGTTTTTGTTGTTGTTGTTGTTGTTTTTCTTGGCTTGTTTTCTTTGTGTTTTTGCAATAAGAAAGCCATCTTGATTCAGCCTTCTAGTAAACGTGCATTTATAGCAGGTTGCAGAATCCCTCTCTCTTGAACATCTGTCTGGTGCTAGACATGCACCCATCACAGGGCCCACCTCAGGACAGCAGACACATAGGAAGGTCCTTTCTTTCCACATTCAAAATGGGCCTGTTAAGAACTCTCTGCATACTTCCAGAAGTATTATTTCTAACATTACTACCTTAATGGTTCCTACACTGTTTATTCTGTTTTGAGGAATAAAACCTCAAATTACAGGGAAACAGTAAGTATAATATCAAAATGAAGTCATATTGTGAAGATCATTATTATCCCATTACCATATAGAGAAAGGAAGTAAGGCTGCTGCCATTACGGAGCACCTCCAAAAGAGCTCCTAAGAACAGCAGCTTAAGTGGTATTTGTGTGGCAAACTGCCATAAGGCAGATGATGCACATGAGCTTTCCTATCATAATACTGATCCACAAGCAAGCTGTGTTATCAGAGCTGCGCTTAACCATCTACACAAACAAAATGGTGGAAGGATGCAATTCTGATGTTACTTCAAGGAAAGCTTCTTATTGCCATTATTTTTGATCATTATTTTTATCGTTGTGCTATACTGCTCTCGTGCTTGACATAGTCCTGACAGATAAGAGGGAGCTGCAGTTCATTTTCTTAATAATGATCGTTCATTTGGACTCAGCGTGATCCAGCCCTAAGCATAAATCCCTTGCAATGATATTAACCCAGTCCTGAAATACATGGAATTAAACATTAATAATTTCAAGGGAAATAAACAATGGAAGTATTTGGCCAGTCATCTGAAATACTTAAGTCTACAGTCTCAAAGTTAGTAATGACCCTTAACTATCACTCAATTAAACATTTACTTCAGGCATATACTTATAACTCACTTTCAGTGCACTGAACACCAACTTCACTGAGGGCCCTGGACCTCACTTAAACAGAAGTATTCTTCAGCTTTAAAATATCAGCCTGCTGTCATTATTCTAACTACAATCTTTTGTACAATGTAAGAAAATTGTAAGGAGTAAGAAGTATAGAAATAACTTACCCACTTTGTTCTTCCATTCTTGCCTTTATTATAATTCATAGTACACAAACACTTCACATTTGTATAAAGGGAGTATGGAAATGACTCTTCAGGTCTCCTGCAAACTACGCCAAGTCTTTTCAATTGAGAGATTCTAGTATAATAAAAGATTGCATTTCACTATTGTAAACTCAAGAAATTACACTAGTAGCTGGCAAAAAAAAACACTTGTATCAGGTGATGGATGCATCTGCTATGTAAACAGGAAGACGCAAGTAGGATTAGTCTTAAGTATGCCAGGATCACTGAGAGAAAAAGTTCTGGTAATGAAGTTGAGGTATAGCAGCGGCCTACATAATGCAGAAGACATCACCCTGCTATAAGAAGTCAGTATTACAATAGCCATCTGGTATTCTATCACAGACAAGAGAACATCAGACACATCAAAACAGAAGCATTCCCTTGCAGAAGTAGAAAACCTGATGTTGGAATAAGTTAATGTTATTCCTTCCTTCACTTTATTATTTTCACATTGTTCAGGGTTAATACTAAAATGAAAACAAACATACAAAAAATAAAAACTGTGAAGGGAATGACAGAACAGCTGCCTACATGGTCATATCTGAACAGCGCGGGATAGCACTAGAACATATTAAGAGAGTATAAATGTCAGATACAGGGAAGTGCTGAAAATCATTTATGACAGCAAACCTTGTGGTCCACATAGTCTCTGGATGATGACAAATCAACTATGATCAAGATGGAACAATGACCACAATTGATAACCCACAGGAGATCATTGATCATTCCTGGCAAAACAGTCTTTGTACTGTGAACCAACAGTAAGCCAGATGGGAGCTGATCCAAAAAACTGCCAGCCTTGAAAATAAAGAGCTCCTGGCTTTTCAGTAACATCCCTTGTGAGCTAACATGAGATATTAACTGCTATTGACATGAATGATGGAACCAGGGAGGGTACTTCCAAAAGCCAGGCTGAACACTGCCAGTATGGGGAAAACTAGGTTTTCCCCTTGCCAGAAGAGGATCTTAGCCATTCGCTGAGGCAGTCACTGTCCCTGCACCTTGCTGTGCGCAATTCCTCCTCAGCCTTGCCCTACTTGCCTACTTGGTGATGATTTCTGCCAAAACAAGCAGAATCACTGTTTTAATCCAGTGACTAACACTGATAACTGAAACCAAGAAATTTGGTTTGCCAATATACTTTTTCATGGGAAATCCATTTCCAGACTTCTCAGAATGAAAATACATTGAAAAGAGCAAAATACACAAGTACATGAAAAAAAAACATGAAGGCACAGTTTTAAAAATAATTGCACACCAAAACACACAGACAAATAAAAGTAGGTTTTGCATAGGAGTTTCTAGAATGGTTTTGAAAATTCCACTGGAGAGCTTTAAGCATTTTAAGATCTGGTCCTAAATACCTTAGATACTAAGGTCATGATGAAAATAAGACATCTAAACTTTGCTCCAGCGTTAGCCTCATACTCTGAAGGGATTATCTTTCTTTCTGAGCATGACTGGCAGAAACTATCTGGCCTGTAATGACAACATATATTTCTGAACGTTACTTTACATAATCAGATGAGAAGTAAAAATTATGGTCAAATTACACCATGCACAAAAAATATTTATCAACTTCAGTGCATGCCAGTAGGAAAAAAAATAATGCATGATTAATTTATTTTTAGGAGTCTGTATCTTCCTGAAAACCTGCACAGCTTGCCTGCTTCAGCATGTTAAGGCCTCAGGGAGGTTAAATGCAATAGTCATCCTTTACAATCAAAGTGGGTTTAACAATCTTGTTAAAGGAATTTTTTCTGCATCCCCTCAAACAGCTATATGGGCAACTGGTCAGCCGGTGAGCCACCTTCACATTTTTACAGTTGCTGCCGCAGTCATCACCACCTAACGAACCTATGCATTTAATGTTTGACGTGGTTTCCCTTTTGGAAGGGCATGATCAGATTACACAGATTCAGGCTGGTGTCATAAACTCCTGTACCCAGTAGAAGTGAGATCAAATTGGTATTTTTATTGTTTTTTTTAAGGCAGCAATAACAATTAGAAAGAAGTACAACATAGCATTTGAGAAATATTTACTCAGCCTTTCAGTTGATTGGCTGATGCTGCAGAAGTGTGCTAGAACATCAACCTTAAAAGGTAGCAACAGACAAAATTTTTGAAACAGAATCCTCTCTGTGGCTTTAAGTCAAGAAGGACCACCGAACATAAAGAGGGAAAAATATGTCAGGTTTGTTCTCTGAGCTGACATTGAACTGGCTTATCCTCACTGTCATTTTGAAGAGTTTCTTTCCCCTTCCCCTGCATGGCATCTGATATTCTCAGGAAGGAAGTTCTGAATAGATGAAAAGGTAAAAGATAAAGCCATTATGTGAGTACAACTAGAGAGCCAAATTTAATCAGAAAATTGGAACATTACAGAACACAAACAGAAAACGAATTAGACAGTTATCTAACAGTAAAGATAATAATGCAGTGGTGCAAATGCCTACTGCTGGACAAACAGCTATCACCACTTGCAGAACAATTTTAATTGGCATTCTGAAGAGGTTGAAGACTGTGGTGACACAGACACAGGTAAGTGCTCGCCTACCTGAAATGCACACTGTCTGCCATACGCCATTGCAGTGAAACTGCAACGCTGTATCAGCTTCACTCGACTTAGCAGGGAGCTAGTGGTGTTTGTCATGTCTGCTACTGCCACCTACAGAGAACTGATTGCAGCTATTGTATTGCTGATTCTCCTGGTCAACCATGCAAACAAGCATAACCATCTAAAATGCACCAAAACGTATTCAGAAAGCATTAAAAATACTCTTTCGCTATACAAATTGGCATAGGAAGTAAAAACAGAGAAAGATGAATAACTCTGATTAATCTAATAATCCAGTAAGCAAAATGCAAGATATAGCACCTGACTTTTGCTATTAGATACACACACACACACACAAACACACACACATGCACAAAAAAAAAAAAAAAAAAAAAAAAAAAAAGATTATTCAGCTTGGAGAGGAGATCACAGATAAAATGAAAAGATTTTTGTAAATTTGAAATGAGACATTTTTACCCTACCATATCTTCATTAAGGCATATCCAATCAGATCACTATTTGTGTTATTTTTTGTTAGCCCGTTCTGCATGTGTTTGATAGAAGGCAAATAATATAATGAAGAAAATAGAAAGGGGAAATTCAGCAACAAACAGATGCATATTTGGCAATGAAGATGACATTGAGGGATCTGGGGACAACCCATATCTTTGTCAAAGAGTTATTTATACAGTCTCTGACAGTGTCTAAACAGCTCACTAGCAACACACAATTTTAAAATAGAATGTCCAAATCAAATAGGAGGCAAAATTCCAATTCCTGTGTCCAATACAGAAAACATGTATTGGAGCATATGTCTCAGCAGAACTGATGAGTTAAACCATGCCAGCGCTTTAGGGTTCAGTCAGGGACAACTAGCTCTTAAATCTACTCTAACTGGTGAGGCGAAGTGCTATCTACACGATTAACGTCGATTCTGCTTTAAAAGTGAAAAACTGTTTTGGTTAAAGGTCCTGAACTCAGGACAAAAATCTTTTTCATTGACTTGATATCATTGCTAAATGACGCTCATCAGCATGAGAGACTATAATTTCCAAAATAAGAAGAAATTTACACTGAGTCATAACACATTTGAAAGATGACAGGGCACTGCTGTTAAGTACAGCATGATGTTAACTTAAGATTAAAGATAATCAACACCCATGAATTTCAAGAAGCTCGAAGGTAAGGTCAACGTCCTCATTACCTCTGAGAATCATTTTCAAGTTGTGCGGCTTTTGTGACAGTCATAACCAAATTACATAATTTTTCTCTAAAAATCCTAATTATGTTTTCAGTAAACAATGTAGCATTGATGAAGAAAGAGGACTTCATTAAACAATGCTGGGAGCTGTACTTTGTTTAGTGAAAAATCCCTGTTGAAAATATCTCAATCAGACACTGCTGCTGAGGAACTGAGAACTCAACCCACACTACTTCACTGCTTACAAACTGAAAGGCCCCAAATGAAAAGTAGTATTACTTGGAAAAAATAAGGACCCCAAAGAATCTATAATTTAAGAAAATAGAGAAAGCACGTGACATTCAATAAGATTATCACCCTCATTTCAAGGCAATTCAAGATTATGGAAACGGTTAGTAGATCCAAGTAAAAAGTGCCTATAAAAGGTTGTTTTTTTTTTTTTTTTTCAGAAGATACAGTACAGTTGCAGGCTGGACGAGCTGTACTGACTTTGTTCATGCCATTGAGTACGATAGGGAGTACCTGCATATATTGGCTGCTATGTACATTGAAGAACTTAAGACAATGAGAGGGACCTAAAGACCAATTGATTTGATGGATAATAAATGTACTCACAGCCACATTTCTGTAGTTACAGTCAGTAAGAGTTATGCACATTCAAATACAAAGAAAGACTGTATTTTTACCAACTGCTGAACTCTTCTTAGTGATGCCTACTTATTAAAATCTTTTCACGTGAGTCGATGCATAATCCAAATCTCAGTCTTTCCTAAGTTCACTCACACTGAAATCAGATGACTTACTGAATTAAGACTTCAAAAGTGAATATTCTGTGATTATGTCTGTCTTGCAGTTCCTTATACCTCTTCATGTGCTGGAAATCCTTCAGACAAAACTGAAAGAGCAGCCATCATTAAAACGCCCTCAGTTTTAGTCACCATTCAGTATTTCCTCACTACTAGGAGTTTAGAACAATACACTTCAGGAGATAGAAATATCTGATTTGGTAAAGGAACTTTACTATTTCTATCATTAGCTCTTAGTCTTCAGTGCAATCCTAAATGTTATTAAGTGCTACTAGCTATTATGCTAATAATTAATCAGACTTTTTAAAAAACAGATTCTAATTAAAAATAATTCCAGTTCTTAATACAGAAGAGTGTGCTTTGAAGTGGGAACTACTGTTTGTGCATAACTGTCATTTCCTACTTTAGTAGGCTGATCTTGTGAAAAGCTGTTTTTAGAAGTGCCTTTGAAAATGTGCCACCCTGCAGTTGAAGGTGATACTTCAACAAGATACTACACTAGCAATTTTCTTCTTAAACTTTCTGTCTCTAGCCTGCGTTCAACAAATTATGCAAGAACAGGAGGTGAAACAATATTTCTTCTGGAAACAAGCCTTCTGTTGCATCGCTTTGAATAAAGGAAGAAGGAACAGTAGATATATATGCTAATAGTTGAATAAAATAAAATTTCAGTCTGAGAGATTTGAGCAAAGCAGATTTAAACTATGCATAGGTTACCACACAGCATCCACTATATCAAAGCCATACAGTATGATAATCAACACACATTCCCAGCAGAATATTTTCATGAAGTATTGTGGCCAAATGGAGAAAAAAAGTATCACAAGGAAACTTCTTTCCATTTTCTTTTCTGTTCTGTTTTTTTTTTGTTTGTTTGTTTGTTTTTGTTTGTTTGTTTCTTTAGATTTGAAACAGTAATAGGATGTGATCACAGCAATAATGGAAAAGGGCAACAGGATCGTCAGGTAGGACCATCTGTGTGATAAAATTGGGTGGTGGGCAATCATACTAGCATTGGCAGTTAAACTTAGACATTGAAAAACTCACCGGGTAAAAGCGTACTTGACAGCCACCAAAACAAATACGATCTACAACAGAAGAGCTTGATGATTATTTTGTAAAAATTAATAAATGCATCAGAAATACAGAAACAAATCCTATTCAATAGCCTAGCTTCTCTTTGGCATAGAGTGATACCCAGAGAAAAATTCTTAAAATAGTATTCTGTTTTTTGGGGTTTTTTTGGGGGGTTTTTTTTGAGTGAGAAAAGACTGGAATCAGATCAATCTCATATAGGTTACACAGCCAGGTACTCTAACCAGAGGAAATTATGGATTGTTCTACGGATCTCTTAGGCATTCACACCTAGACTTTCTCTCAGTTCCCAGCTTCTTGACTCTTCTAATGCCCAAAACAGTATAAATCACATGAGTCACACAAAGATCTGCTTATCATTTACAGAAAGAGGAATAATGTGTTTGTGTTTTGTTTGGTACTGTGCGTTTGTTTTAATGTGGCTAGTCCAAGATGCTATTAGGGCAGTTACTAAATGCCAACGACCTTATAGTATTTAAAAATAGTTACTACGCTTAAATCTCCATGATTCAAATCTAATGGACAAAAGGTGCACATTTAAAATATGATATACAGTATTTACACAAAAATTGCAATGATTTGATCACAACTCATCTTATTTTATTAGAATTTTAATAGAAATTATTACAAAATGAATGGAAGTATTTATTAATCTCCAAACTAAAGGTGGAAAAAAGGAAGAAGCTAAGCAACAAAGAGTAACATCTAGAGATGAAACATGGTGGGAAGAAAACAAGAATCTGAAGTCTGAATATATAACTGAACAAAACAATGTAAAGATATCTTAAGGTAGGAGGAAATTGCTTTTTCATTCCTTGAAGTACTTGCTACACTCCCAGTGCAGTGTAAACGATCTCTACTATCAACATGAGCTGCCTGTTCTAAGTGCAGCACACAGTTTTCATATGTAGCACTATCGTAAAGAAAAGCTACGTGTCTTCAAACATTTCACATATTTACTCTCATTCTTACTATACATGCGTGCAAATATGATTTGAATTTCCTAAATCACAGCAGTGAATATTTCAGCACTTGCAATAGTCCATCCAAGTCAGCAAAAGGTTCTATTATTCTTCATTAATCTGAATGACAGTAAGTGAAGATAACAATCATATGAGGAAGCTTATAATCATCTAATTTGCTATGTGTAGAAGATCACGCAGCTAGGATGCAAGCGTGTAATTTGCCTGTGAAGTTAAAGCAACAATAAATCAACAGTACGCTAGGATTGAAAGGCTTTTGTGTTGGATTTATGTAATATTTTCTACTGGTCAAAGAAGTGTATATGATCTATGTGGGAATACTTATATTTCCTTTATTATTTTTTAACATGAAGACTGTCAACAGAAATTGATGCTAGAGTAACTGCTCAAGTGCTACCTTACTGTTCTGGTTCTGACATTAGGAATGGACAAATCATATGTCAGTAATTTGGAAAGTAATGCCTTCTATCTGCTTTACAGAAGCTACAAGATGCAAATAGCACAATAATACTGTTTAATAGAGCAAATTCTCAGATAAGGAACACAATTTTTCAATACAGCCACCACCATCAGACATGCAATTTTCACCAGCAATAAACAAAATCGGTATGACACGCTGATAAAAATGGCAATCTAGAACATGGCTTCTCACCAGCAGAAATGCACCACCCACTGCCTCGTTGTGCTCACATCCACTGTTTGGTCGTCCCCATAAACATTCAGCAAGTATGAATGTCAATGGGTGTGATTTATTGTGTGTGAAGAAATTCAATGCCATGCCTTTAGTTCATACACACCTCCATGGCAGTCACACTGCCCCTCTGCTGCCATCTGTCAATGCCACGGCAATGAAATGTAATGGAATATTAGTGGGAAAGTTAAGCCTCTACTGCCGACCCTACCCGCAGAGAGGTGTGCTGCCTTCCTGGGGCACGGGTCAGGGACATTTCAAAGAAAATTCCTGGGTTGATTCGGCCTTCAGATTATTACCCGCTTTTAATAATTCAGGCTGGCGGCGAGGAAGTTGATAAGGAAAGCCTGAGGTCTATCAAGAAAGACTTCAGGGGAATGGGGCGAATACTTGAAGGAGCTGGGGTGCAGGTGGTCTTTTCTTCTATGCCCGTGGTGTCAGGGAAAGGTACAGGGAGGATCCAAAATACCCAACTCTTCAATAGATGGCTTAAGAGCTGGTGCAGGCGTAAGAATTTTGGCTTTTTTGACCATGGGGCAATTTACACTGCACCTGGCATGATGGCTGCTGATGCATGCAGCCTGTCCCTGAGGGGTAAGAGGATCTTAGCTGAAGAATTAGCAGGACTCATTGACAGGTCTTTAAACTAGGAATGAAGGGGGAAGGGGACAAAATAAGGGCTACTGGGGTTGAACGGGTCATTCGAGGGCTTATACCAAACTCCATGGGCAATGACGGCAGAGTGCATAGGGAAGGACTAGGGCAGGGGGATGCTGGGGATGCTGCTGTTCTAGGGGATCCTAGATCCCTTATAAAGGTGGCGAGACGGATAGCCCGGCTGAAGTGCCTTTATACCAACGCACGCAGCCTGAGTAACAAGCAGGAGGAACTGGAAACTGTGATGCACTCGGGAAGTTATGACCTTGTTGCTATCACAGAAACATGGTGGGATGACTCCCACAATTGGGATACTGCCATCAACAGCTATAGACTCTTTAGGAGAGATAGGCGAGGTAGGAGGGGTGGGGGAGTTGCTCTCTATGTCAGAGATTGGATAAACTGTGAGGAGCTCCCTACGAGAAGCAGTCAGGAACAGGTTGAGAGCCTGTGGGTTAGGATTAGAGATGGGACTAATATAGGTCAGCTGGTGTTAGGGGTATACTACAGACCACCTGATCAAGGGGAGGCTGTTGACGAGGCTTTCTTGCTCCAGATGCGTGAGATGTCTGGCTCACGGGCTCTTGTCCTAGTGGGGGACTTCAACCATCCGGACATCTGCTGGGAAAACCACACGGCGAGCTGCAAGAGCTCCAGAAGGCTCTTGGAATCCATTGACGATAGCTTTCTGGTTCAGGTATTGGACAGACCGACCAGAGGTGAAGCATTGCTGGACCTGCTGCTCACCAACGCTGAGGAGATCATCAAAGGCGTCAAGGTTGGTGGCTGCCTGGGCTCCAGCGACCACGCCCTGGTTGAGTTTGTGATCTCAAGCGATGTGGGCCTGGCAAAGAGCAGGACCAGGACACTGAACTTCAGAAGAGCAGACTTCAAGCTACTCAATGGATTGCTGGCCAAGATCCCCTGGCGCGCTGCCCTCAAAGACAAGGATGTTGAGGAGAGCTGGCAGCTCTTCAAAGATGCCCTCCTGGAAGCACAAGAGGTCTCCATTCCTCTGAATAAGAAAGTGGGCAGGCAAGGTAGGAAACCGGCATGGCTCAGCAAGGACCTGCTGAGAGAACTGAGGGCTAAGAAAGGGGTGTACAAGCTCTGGAAAAAAGGCTGTGTCACCTGGGAAGAGTACAGGAATGCCGTCTGGACTTGCAGACGTGGGATCAGGGAAGCCAAGGTGCAGGCAGAACTGAACTTGGCAAGGGACGTGAAAAACAATAAGAAAACCTTCTACAGGTACATTGCCCAGAAGAGACAGGCCAAAACGGGCATACCTACTTTGGTTAATTTAAAAGGAGAACTGGCTTCAACAGATGAAGAGAAAGCTGAGGTGCTGAATGAGTTCTTCACCTCGGTCTTCACTGGTGGCCAGGATTCTAGTCTTTTTCACGTCCCTGAACCCTGCATCACCAAACCTCTATATGGGGACCAAGGAGGTAAATCCCTCCCCACTGTAAGGGCAGAGCAAGTCCGAGAGTGCCTCCTTAGACTGAATGAATACAAGTCTATGGGGCCGGATGGCGTGCATCCCAGGATCCTGAAAGAGCTGGCTGAGGTGGTTGCTGAGCCGCTCTCCATCATATTTGAGAAGTCGTGGCTGTCAGGTGAGGTCCCGGATGACTGGAGGAAGGGTCACGTCACTCCCATATACAAGAAGGGGAGCAGGGAGGACCCGGGGAACTACAGGCCGGTAAGTCTCACCTCCGTGCCTGGGAAGATCATGGAACAGATCCTCCTGGACAACATGCTCGGTCACATAAAGAATGAGCATGTGATCCGAGACAGCCAGCACGGCTTCACCAAAGGAAGGTCATGCCTAACTAATCTTGTGGCCTTCTATGATGAAGTGACGGCATTGGTGGACGAAGGGAAGGCGACCGATGTCATTTACCTGGACCTGAGCAAGGCCTTTGACATGGTCCCCCACCACATCCTCATCTCCAAATTGGAGGGAAGTGGATTTGATGGGTGGACGACCCGATGGATAAGCAATTGGTTGAAAGGCCGCAGACAGAGGGTGGTGGTCAATGGCTCTATGTCCAGGTGGAGGCCGGTAACAAGTGGTGTCCCCCAAGGGTCTGTCTTGGGACCGGTGCTCTTTAACATCTTTATTAATGACATCGATGAGGGAATTGAGTGCACCGTCAGCAAGTTTGCTGACGACACCAAGCTGAGTGGTGCGGTTGATACGGTGGAAGGAAGGGATGCCATTCAGAGGGACCTCGACAGGCTGGAGGGCTGGGCTCGGGTGAACCTAATGAGGTTCAACACGGCAAAGTGCAGGGTTTTGCACTTGGGCCGGAAGAACCCCAGGCACCTGTACAGGCTGGGAGGAGTGGTCCTTGAGAGCAGCTCGGCAGAGAAGGACCTGGGGGTCCTGATGGACGAGAGACTGAACATGAGCCAGCAGTGCGCTCTGGCAGCTCGAAAGGCAAATGGGATCCTGGGCTCCATCAGGAGAGGGGTGGCCAGCAGGGACAGGGAGGTGATTGTCCCTCTCTACTCGGCTCTTGTGAGGCCCCACCTGGAGTACTGTGTCCAGGTGTGGAGCCCTCAGTACAAGAAAGATAGAGATTTTGGAAAGGGTCCAGAGGAGGGCGACTAAGATGATCAGGGGGGTGGAGCACCTCCCCTATGAGGACAGGCTGAGGGAGTTGGGCTTGTTCAGCCTGGAGAAGAGAAGGCTGCGGGGTGACCTCATTGCAGCCTATCAATACCTGAAGGGAACCTACACCCAGGAGGGGAGTAAACTCTTCAAAAGGGCTGACAACAGCAGGACTAGGGGAAACGGTTTTAAGTTGAAGGAGGGAAGATTTAGGTTGGATGTTAGGGGGAAGTTCTTTACTAGGAGAGTGGTTAGGCCCTGGAACGGGCTGCCCAGGGAGGTTGTGGATGCCCCGTCCTTGGACGTGTTTAAGGCCAGGTTGGACGGGGTCCTGGGCAACCTGATCTGAATGTGTATGTTTGGTGGCCCTGCTAGGCAGGGGGGTTGGAACTACATGATCCTTGGGGTCCCTTCCAACCCGGGTGATTCTGTGATATTAATAACATCCATCTCTGATACTGTGGGCCAACATAATAAAATAGGAGGCATTACTTTTGGAGCAGCCCTTGTTGACTCACTGAATGGTTTGAGTTGGAAGTGACTTTGAAGATCCCCCAGTGCCAACATCCTGCCATTTGCAGAAACACCTCCTGCCACCTCTGGTTGCCCAAAGGCTCATCCTGCCTGGTTTTTAATGCTTCCAAGGATGGGACATCCAGAGTTTCTCTGGGCAACATGTTCCAGTGCTTCATTGCCCTCTGAATAAATAATTTCTCCCTTATATATAATCTAAATCTACCCTTTTATAATTTTAAAGCCACTACTTGTCCTCTCACTATGATCCCCGACAAAAAGTCTCTCTCCATCTTTCTCATAGGCCCCTTTTAGGTACTGGAATACCACATTAAATAAGGTATGTTATCTTTTATGCTGAAAAAAAAATGCATAATCCTTAATTGGTATACAGCATATAATTACCCTGTCAATAGATCAACGTTCTGTCCAGAATACAGTTTCTTCTCCTCTTCAGATTCTGTAGCATCATACAAAAAGAGATGAATAACCTCTTGAAAAGTCTTCCTATCTCTGGCTGCGTCAAATTAAAAACTGCCTTCCTGATATATAAATCTTTGCATAGAAGTTTTTTTCATCACACAAATCCTTTTACTTTCTGTTTCACCTATGCTTTCTGCAAGTTAGGCACAATTCCCTGGCCTTTCCTCAATGTTTTATTTTCTTTGAATATTCTGCTAAAAAGAATTCTCACGTTGGCTGCACATATTTGGAAAGCCTTCCCTGCCTTCATCAACCAACAGTTCTAAACATTTAGAGCCAAGATTTTTAAACTATCCTTACACACTCTGCATTTCCTAAACTGTTGTCCTAAATTTAACACTCATCTAATACAAACACAAGTGTGTTGAGGAAGAAAACATGTATTATCCATCTAAAAAGCCATGCAGTTTTACAGTTCACGTAAATGCTTGTAATAATAGCCATAGTACACACAACATAATAGATGCTTCTGTTAAAGATGAGATAACCAAATAAAACCTCACACTTTTAATTACATGCCTTTGCCTGGGCAAAACAGAAAGTAATCCATGAAAGATTAAGCAAGAAGCAGGGAAACAGATTTCAGAAGGAAGGGTGAGAGCCAAAATAAGGCTGAACTGAGGGAAGGTGAAAATATATACAAATGTCTCACGATTCTGAAAAATTCAGAGAATATCATATTTCTGCACTTAGAGCTTGATAACACTTATATTAGTCATAGCACTAATACAGACATTGAAACACTTGAAATTGCTCAAATTACACCTATACTAAGGACTTCAGAAACAAGAGCATATGCAAGTCATCCAGTAAGAGGGAGGCTGAGAGCGTGTGGCCAGAAGAGCCAACAACAGAGAAGTCCTGCAGAGAGTGAGAGAGTGTGCTGTGTAAGAATCTCAACGCAGCTGTGTATGTGTGACAAGTGGATGTTCCCAAATCCAGCAGCAGTTCCTCTCCAGCCTTTAAAATCTGACTGGTGCTAGAATGCCAGCAAACAGGCCTGTGTGCTCAGGGGAATTAGGTGTTCCAAGCAAAGAGATATTGCTATATGCTGGACTTCACATACTATTTACGCCTTTATGCATAATCCTGCAAACATATCTGTGAAGTGAGACACTGAATTAATCATCAAGGACTTATCCTTTCTTCCTCATAATGCAGTCAATATACTGACTTCCCAGTCCTGCAGCTAGGGAAGTGATTATCTGCAATTCTTCCAAAAGTATATTATATCTTAAATAGAATGCTTGACTTAATGCACTTTCATATGCACATAATCAGATTTTTATTTTAATGAGGAAAGCAGCTAGCAATTTTAAAATAACTGTTTTCCTTCTGAAAACAAACAAAAAAAAGCAAGAAACATAGAAAGAGTCGTTCCCTGACCAAAAAGATTTTCTAAAGCTTTCCTTCAAAAAAATCCCATGCGAGAAAGTTCATCCTAAAATCAAACTTGGAGAGAGTAGCTGTCAAATAGGAATAATGTTGCTGTATTTTAAGCACATTAGCTCGTCTTCCAAACCTGGTAATACTTAATGTTACAATACGAGGAAATACCACCTGATACTGCACTGTAATTTGCTCTAAAAATATTTCAATCCCCAATAGCTATGTTTGCTTGTAATAAATTCACAAGATTTGAAACACAACAGAAATTGCTGTCAATCTGCGTGTAATAAAAGGTAGTAGGAAGAGAGTGGGAAGAAATTAAAGGTAGTAGGAAGGACAACAAAGCAGTGTTTTAGTGGCATAAAAGAAGGCATGAGAAAAGAGGATACTAGCTGAAAGGAAAAAGCATTAATAAGATTCAATTACTAAAGCCAACAGCAAGGACTTTGTCCAAGATCTGCTTGCTGTTCAGTTGCTGGCCGAACACAAAAGGCCCTACACAACAAGTACAGTCATCTGCACATCAGTGCTGATCTCTCTGCAGTGTGCCATGCCCTGGTTGCTCTTACTAGGATGAAGTTTCCTTAGAGTACAACACTTTATCACCATTTCTTCCACCCTAGCTTGTGATTTTCCATGTGACCACTTGAGTCTCTCCACCAGTTCAAAGACAAAACTTATTTCCTAAAAACACGCACCTTGGAATTCCATTACATCAGCGGGGAGAAGGAAAATAGCCAAACTTAGAAAAAAAAATAGAATTATCATGGGATTCTCTACTAAAATCAACAGAACTATGAACAAAATACAACCTAGGAACTCTTTGAAGAGACTTCACAGAATCACAGAAACACCAAGGTTGGAAAAGACCTACAAGATCACCCAGTCCAACCATCCACTTATCACCAACAGTTCTCAAACAGTTCCCATTTATGTTGGTACACTGTGGCATGATCTCTTTCCTTTGATTAAATTGCTACTATTATTCATTATTATTTGTCAACTTTGATGTGTAGTTCTTTTGGTGTTGTTTTCCTACTGATGTTCCATATACATCCCTGACTGCCAGTTATGGTGTCTCTTGAGAAAGATTAAGTTATGAGTATTTTAAAGAAGAACAGAGGAAATGGGCACATAAAAAAAAACAAATATTAATAATCTTTATTCTCACACTGATTCATTGATTCACACAAATACTGTGGATTTGGTATCTTCAATAGAGAAAAAAATTGTGGTGTTAGGTTTGTAATTATCATGGCACTTAAGTGTTATCTTTAGCGCTAGCTGTAGAATAAGACAACAGAAAAATATACCACTTAATCTATTCCTAATAATTAAGTTCGAAATTTTTTGATGTGGGTCCTGGATCCAGTAATTCAAGTAGCCTGCAGTTTCCCACTGCTTGAAAAAGCTCTCCCAGATCCCACAGCTATGACACAATGAAGGGTTATTATTACTCTGCTTTTCCTGATGCTGATAATGAACATATTTGCCACAATACTTAAACTCTCAGTTATCTGGGTTAGTCTGTATTTACCCAGCCTACTTTTATTCTGGAAAACACAAAGATTTTTTCTTCTGGAGAGCTGCTATCAAAGTTTTAATTGCAGCAACAAAAGGAAGAAGCTCTTACTTCCAGGCAGCCAACATCTTTAGCTCTGTGCTTTCAAATCATTTCATTAGAAACAAGTGCAAGTTGCTATTGTTCACTCCCTCTGGATTTAGCTTTGTTCACGGGACTCAGCATTGTCATAAAATATTTTTCTCACCATCACCTTTCAGAAGCCTCCCATTCTTCATAGCAGATTTTCAACACTGCAGTTGATCCAAATCAATTTTCCCCTGAAAATCTTCATTTCCAAAATGCAACACTTGAATGATCAAACACTTAGAAATACTCAGTGCATAGACAGTACAGTAGAAACAAAGAGAACTTCAACAGCTGTTCAGAACTTTCAGGCCCAATACACTGCTGAGGAACAAATATTATGACGACTTTACTTTCACTTACAACACATAGCTTACAAACACATTTTGTAATGTTTGTTAACACCTGAAGCAGGTAATTAAGATAGCTGAAAGATATCAAACTTTTCTTGAGTCTAAAATTTATATTTACATTACACATAAGAAAATAAAGACCAGAAATGAAGTAGCCTTTGACATAAACTCTTACTTATTTACCAAGCACCAAGTTCAAATTGGGCCACGGGGAACATGAAATCATTATCTGAATAGTTTGTTCAAAAGCAATTCAGTAAACAACATGTAAGGCCAGAAAATTATTACTTCAATACCTTGCAAAAAATCTTTGGGGAAAAGAAATATAATACAATTCTAGATTTGGAAGTCACATGATTCCTGGACTATTACAGTAATCTTGATTTTTAAAGATTGCTAGTATATCAGATCAATTATATGGTTATGCTTTAGGCTGAATAAAGTGTGAAAAGGGTACTGGGTAGCAAGAGGGATTAAATTTTATATTAAAAGCATCTAATAAATAATTATAGTATTTTGAATTTAAAATTCAGCCTTCCAATCTGAAACGGACTGTGTCAACAAACACTTTCTAGAATAATTTTCTTCTGTATAATGCTAATGTTGAGCTCCTACCAGAATGACTGACATAATTCGAAATCAATTCTATGTCTTAATTTTGAATTACTTAAGCAAGAACAGATGTGAAACACTTTCAGTCTCTTTCAAAGCTAAATCCATTTCAGTGTTTATTAAATACTGCGTATTTCACATGCAGACAGTTCCTCTTTTTACCATCTCCTGGAGTAAGGAAGTAAAGTATAGACTACTCTATATACTACATATGTTGCATAGTATAGACTACTTTCCATTTTATCCCAAGACACTTCATCTGAAATAGAGTATCAACCCCTAAATCCAAAGACATCCCCTCCATGCTGGCGCTAGGAAACACCCTGCAGCCCAGCATGGACGGTGGGGCAG